AGATTTGATGAACCAAAAACAAAGTATTGGGGCATGTTTTGTGAAACAATCTGAACAAGCGAAGTGTGATTACCTTATTCGTTTGAAGGCATCACTTGAGTGCACTAGATTTCTTCTTTGTGGGGGTTTGCCATTTCGGGGTCATGACGAATCAATGGAGTCTAGTTATAAAGGTCATTTTCTTGAGACTTTAGATCTTTTGAGACAACATGATTCTGAGATAGATAGAGTTCTTAAAAATGCTCCACAAAACAATTAGATGACCTCACCCAAAATTCAAAAGGATTTGTGTTATGCTTGTGCATTTCTTTTCTAACTGTTCATGAAATTATTAAGCAAATGAGAGATGATATTTTTGCTATATTAGTTGATGAATCAGGGGATGTTTTTGGTAAAGAGCAAATGGCTATTATTGTGCGTTTTGTTGCTAGTAATGGTTCTGTTTTGGAGAGATTTACTGGTCTTGTTCATGTCAAAGACACAGTTGCATCATCTCTTAAAGAATCTCTTGAGAACATTCTAGCACAATATGGTCTGTGCATCTCAAACATAAGAGGACAAGGCTATGACGGAGCGAGTAATATGCGGGGTAAGTTTGGTGGATTGAAAACTCTAATTCAAAATGAAAATCCCAATGCATATTATGTACATTGTTTAGCTCATCAATTGCAGTTGTCACTTGTTGCCGCTGCTACAGGACAACATGAGGTTAATTGGTTACTTCTTCATGTTAGTCGCGTAATTAATGAGATTTGCTCATCAAATAAGCGACAAGAATGCCTTCGAGATAAACAAGCAGGTGATTTGATAAGTGCTTTAGAAGCTGGACTAGTAAAAACAGGAAGAGGATTGAATCAACAATTGGCACCTGTCAGAGCGGGTGATACACGATGGAGTTCTCATTACAGATCATTGCTTAATTTGCAAAAATTATTTAAATCTGTGATTGAGGTACTCGAAGATTTGGAAGACCATGATAAAAGTGGTGAAGCCACTTCATTGTTGAATGAATTGCAAACTTTTGAATTTTGTTTCATGCTTCATTTGATGATCAATGTTTTGGCCATTACACATGATCTTTCACAGGCATTGCAAAGGCGTGAACAAGATCTTGTGAATGCTTTAAAACTAATCACAGTTGACAAAGAGCGTTTAGCGACAATGAAAACATATATTGGATGGGATGCTTTATTTGATGAGGTTGTTACTTTTTGTAACAAGTTTCATATAGATGTTTCTTCTATGGATCAGAACTACATCAAAGGAAAAAGATCGAAGCGCAGGGCACCGAGTATAAGGAACATGCATCATTACAAGTATGATTGCTTACATGAGATTGTTAATTTGTTTGTGGCTGAGCTTGACAACAGGTTTGATGTGGCAAGCACTGAGTTATTGCGTTGTGTGTCTTGTTTATGTCCTTCCTCCTCGTTTGAAGCTTAAATTGGCAGAATTTTATCCAAAAGAGTTTTCTGATGTTGATAAAAAGATACTCGAGAATCAGCTTGAGAATTATATTTTAGATGTCCGTTCTGATAATAGATTTTCTGATTTGAATGGTTTAGTAGACCTTTCGATTGCAATGGTGTCCACGAAGAAGCATCTCACATATCAGCATGTGTATACACTTATTAAGTTATCTCTACTTCTCCCAGTAGCTACAACAAGTGTTGAACGAGCGTTTTCAGGAATGAAGTTCGTGAAGAATGAGTTGCGGAACAAGATGTGCGATCAATGGTTGAATGATTGCTTAGTTACATATGTTGAGAGAGATGTTTTTGGTACTATTAATGATGATTCTATTATAGAATATTTCCAACAAATGAAGCCTAGGAGGGTACATCTGTAGAATTGTTGAATGATTTTTATATGTAATTTTTTTCTTTATAGTATCTTAATGTTTTGATGGTGTACGTTAACTTTGAAGTCTTATGCTTCTTTAATATTTTTTATTAGTTTTATATTAATTAGAGATTAGAGATATAAAAGGGTAGGGACCCGTGTCTCCAACTTTCTGGGTCCGCCACTGACTACTATAGTCAGTACATTTAAGAGGACATACTTTTATAAGCAATTTGAACTTTAGTCATAAATACATAATTATTTCAAAAAATAGCTTAGATTACCCTGTCTAAGGTCTCAAAGATTAATTATGTACCTTGCATTTTCTAACGTTTTTTTTACACAAATTATCAAACTAATGTGCAATTGTGCATTTCAATATCATATCATTAAATAAATATGGATACCATTTGACAGTTTATTCAAATGAATCCAGCTTGTTATATTACTTGATACAGTAGTATTTACATTATCAGTTATAGAGTCTTTACTAGATATTCCGTACATAGTATCCACACATATAATATCCAAGTATTTACAAAGCATGTCTCTCACGTTGGAATAATTGGACACCGTATGGGATATGTGAGACAAGCTGGACTTGAGGCTCGTGACATGATGCTCTACATTTCCTTCTTTATGCATAATAGCTTAAAATTATTGTAGCATGTAAGTACTAGTAGTTAATATAAGAAGCATATTAATTATTAGCCCTTTGCAGTTGCACTAATTCTAACATATCTTTGTGCTTTAAGAAGTTAGGTTTTCACATGAACACGTTGAAACTAGAGTAGCCATACCACTGCTGCACTCCATTTCCACCCCAAATGACCCTATTAATGGGGCCTATATGTAATCCCAAATGCTCATCATCTATGAGTATGTTTGGCACAACTAGCTGAAAAGATACTTTTGTGAGCTTTTTGATAACTTTTAGCAGTGATTAAAAAGATTTTAAAATGATCAAAATGTCAGTACCAAATGAGCACACATAACTTACAAAGTTTGTATCAAAAAATTTAAAACGTCATTTGAAATCACTAATGTGCTCAAGTCCTCATTTGTTTATGCTCATTTTGATTAAGCGTTATGCTCATTTCGTATCTGAGAACGATGCCACAAGGGTTGGATTGATCTGCCAGGTTAATATCACTGAAATCTAGTATATATAGAACATTAACATTGTTATCTAGAATCTCTCTATCTGCACAGGAGATGGAGGAACAACGACATACCAAAGACTCCTGAATTCTGACGGATTGAAGCACCGGCGATTGGGCAACCCAAGTGAGACTCGAACAAATCAGGTTGTAGCAAGATGGAATTCGCTCTTGGTCAGATTGCTTCAATGGAAGAACTCTGCTCGTCGATGGATGATGATGGTGAAGCTTGTAGCGATGGCGGATGGTGAATGTTGAGCAGAGATGTACGATGGCGATGGTTTAGCGTGCAGATGTTGAATTGGAGAAGAAGACTCAGAGTTGAAAATAATTACAAATACATCGGGTGTATAGGTACACCCGGATGTACCTTATAATTTGCGAGTCTAGGGTGCCCTTTCAAATGTTAAAATCCGATTAGTAGCTACCCCACCGCTCATTTGAGCGTTTCTAATTAATGTAAACATAATTGCATGAATAGGATTAAAACCTAAGGGGGTGTCCCCAAAACAGATTTTAAAGGATTTTAAAGATAAATTCCATTGATTTTACTAAAATTCTATGAATTCCACGAGATTCATATGGAATTCTATTTCATAGAATCATATGGATTTTAATAGATTTGAAATACAAGTTGGTGTAAACCGCTACCCTAGTCCCCACCGCCACACCTGCTCCGCCGCTGCAAACCACCGTTGGAAAAGTCGTCGGAATATTTTGATGAATTTTTTTATTCATTTTTTTTTTTTGCAGTTTTTCAAAATTCACCAAGAAAGGTTAACGAAAATTGCCTTCAATCTAGTCATAAACTTTCCAACATGAAATATAACACGCCTCCCAGCCTGAAATAGATAAACTTGCCACTAAGAGATACAAGTATAAAACAATGATGTTTTTACTTGGATTGTAATTTGTCCCGGACCAGACCATACCAGACCAGACCAGATTAGACTAGCAAATTACAGTCTAAGTAAAAACATCCTTAGTTTGCATTCACACAAATTCATTGAGATACACGTACCAAAACTTTCTACCGACTATGATTGCGCTTGTCCATTAGGCCGTTCCAGTTTGTGCAAATTCATCAAAAGAACATATCTGTGTGTGCGTATTCAGTGAAGTTCGGTGATTAACAAATGAAATACAAGAAAGTTTTGAACCAACTACGGTTTCTCACCGAACTTCACTGAAGCGACATGCACAATTATCGTTTCAAATGAAATACAACTGCTTGAGATGGTTCAATAAAGTTTCTTCAATGTTTTGGGAAAGTTTCCAAAACCTTAAAATATCGAGGTGTTACTTGTTGATGTTTTAAATTATAATTGTGTGGTCTTTAGTGCTGGAGTAATTTATATACCTGTGTCCAGTGTAAGTGTGTTATTATACACTTAGGAACTCGATCAAGTGGAGATAACAACAATGACATTCCTCTACTGTATTCATTGACGTCGATGCTATTTAATATGTTTATTGTGATTCTTTTTGTTGATCAGCATAGTAAGCCTATTATGGTTACCAAACAGAGCACATGCCACATGAGTACTCTGATTAAATGATTTGTTTATACAAATTATTCTATGTTGAATCTTTAGCCTCTCTGAAGGTAGGGATGGGACGGGACAGGGCTAGGCTTCGGGACGGGACTGGGCGGGCTTCGGGCTTAAGGATTTTAGGCCCGGTATTGACCAGGGTTTGTACCGGGACTGGGTCGGGGACTGGGTCGGGACAAGGCATTCAATTTAAAAAATAGTGCAATATGGCCCAGATTCGGCTGGGCCCAGGTTGGGCCCAAAAAACGAGCCCGAAGTATGCCCTTAAAGCCATAGGTCCGGGCCCTGGGGCCTGGGGCGGGCCCTGGTCTGGTCGACCCGTCCTAGTCCATCTTTATCTGAAGTTAACACAAAAGAATTTGCATTTACTGAGACCGAAATGTTCAAAAACGATCTAAGGTTTGGGGAAATAAAAGATGCACACATGAAAACACTGAATATGGATATGAAGCTAAGCTCACAAAGCCTCTTCAATTCAGTTAACATTACAGAATACATATATGATACTTTTTATTTTTCTCAAAATTACAAATGCAGTAGTTTGTGGCTCAGTTTTGTCTCCTTTTTAGATTGGAGCCACTCAAACTTGTCCTAGTTGACCTTTTGGTAATGGTGGGAATGACATACCAAGCAATGGAAACACACATAATCGCCAAGGTCCTTCCATAAACAGCCAAGAAAACTAAAATCAACATTATAGCTACAGGCAAGTACAACATTGGCTTCATCTTCCAAGTAAAACCCCTAGACAACATTTTCTTCTCGCTATCACCAGTTTCTCGAACTTGATTACTTTTGGTTGATCGAACTACTGTTGATTGAATTGTGCACTTTTCTGATGAATCCTTGTCTGTGGCACTTTCGGCTTTTGCGCTACAATCACCCCAAATAGCATGTTTTTTCTTGTTGTTCTTTGACTTCTTAACAATCGGCACGATCACAGGTTTTTTATTCTTCTTCTTCTTTGTCTTGACAATGATGGGCTTAACTCGATTAGAGCTTGAGAAGGCGAAACGGATAAATGAGATTTGCTCTGATCCCATCCGTGTATAAATTTTTTGCTTCATGACATGAAGATCAACTAAGAGTTCAGAGAACTTGTCGAGGCCCCGATTGGAGTAAGGGTTGTTGAGTGCTGCCATCTTTGATGATCTCTTGGTGCTTGGACATGGGCTAAGATCATCCACCTCATCTTCATCACTAAGAAAATGTGAGCTTCCACCATTACAAAGATTCAACATGTATGCACATAAACTTCTAATTTAATGGGTTTAACTTTGATGTTTGTCTAATGACTACTATTAACAGAAAGACAATGGGGAGAACGGTGGATATTAGTTAGGAACACCCATTGTCAAACATCAAATTATAAGCTTGCGACGTTAAGAATAAATATATTATAATAATCAATGGAGTGGAGTGTAAGCTTGGGCGTGTTCTTCCTTTTTGACTTTATGTTTGGAGCAAGGGTCAAGATAAAAGTCCGCTGATACAGCTTATAACATGTTTACTATTTATTGGTTATTTTTTTCTTTATTGATAAAGAAGTTAAAAAGTTATTATGTTTTTTATTTTTCATAGAATACTATGAATTTGTTTCAAAAATAGAATACTATGAATTCCATAAATATATATAACAAAATATGTATATAATTGAACACAATCTTACTACAAATAAACTTTTTTTAGAGGAAAAAACTTATACGGAGTATTAAAATCAAACGAGCCAGTACATCAATCAAGACCCAAGACCAACAACTCCCACTAGACCCACAATTCCAAAAGCCCACCGGCCCCTCACGTTATGCTCAAACATAGAATAGTCCACTCCAAGATGAGCAAGACTAATCGTTGAAACGATAAGAGCTAAGAGGCTATTAGCAGCTGTGACAGTCTGATTGCCTCCATCAACTGAGTTCTGACAAAGAAAAAAATAGCAATAAAAAGAAATTTCCATGTGATGGATTTTGTATGCTTCCATCCCTTGTACATCTCCCGGCGCATCTTCTACTTGCCGGGCAGGCGGGTACACATAAACTTATTTACACTATGAAAAACTGTAGCATCAATTGAAGGATAATATTTGCTGTACAAAAAAACATTCAAATTCAAATCAAAGAAAGCACGTAAAAAAGAAAGCACATAACTTTACATAATATCAATTATCACACACTGACCGGTAATCATATAAAATGGAAATAAATTGTGTAAATTGATTAAAGTAAAACAAGTTGTTTGAATATAAAATGGAAGAAATATAATGTACTAACCACAATATGTGAACTATGTAAATGTACACCCGGATGCAGTAATTTTTCAATCCATAGTACTCATATCATGATGATACTTTAGCAATGGTTATTTACTTATTTATGAAGACTTGTAGTTATATTTTGTCAATAATTAAATTTAATTTCTCATTATAATAGAAAAGAAAATGAATACTCCGTATATAAAAGTATATATATTAACCTTGCAAAAGGTAGTGTCATAGTGTGAACATATATGATCCAAGATCCTTTTATGGGTAGATGTTGATGTGTTATACAAAGCAGCTAAAGCACTATGAAGCATTTGCGCTTGTATGCGGAGAAAGATCGTAAACAACATACAATGATTTCTTAACCTATGAAGGTGGCAATTATGGTGGAAAAAAATAAAATACTTCAATGACTGATTAAAAAAGTCGAGTAAATATAAGGAAAACTATTAAATAAGCTCTCAACTTTTCAAAAAAAAAAAATGAATAGCCTTTTCAAAAAAATTGCAAAACTTCCTTTTTATAGGTATTCTCTCAGATCAATTTCAGGTTAAACTGCGTGTGTGGTGCGTGACATGACATCTTTATCTTTATCTTTATCTTTTTCTTTCCACCTCCCTTTCTTGTTCTCGCGCTTTCTTTTCTTCTCCCTTTTTCCCCTGCGCTAGCACTTGAAACTCCCTCCCTCCATGTTCTCTTCTTCCCCCTGGTTCTTTGCTCGCAGTTCCACGACCTCACTTCTCCCTCTTCTTTGTGCCTCTTCTTTGCAGGCCGACAAAAGTCTATGGCCAAATTGAAGTTATGGATCTGGATCGGAGTTGATCTGGAGGTCTCATAGAGCACCGACTCCAACGTACTCCGACTTGTATTGCTGACCCAGAAGCTTCAACAGAGAACCTTTTTCGACTTTCAAGGCATGGACTCGCGCAGGGGCGAAGCCAGGACACTTGGCCAGACCGGGCCGGTACAAAGATGTTTTTTTTTTGAAAATTTTTAACATGAATTTTTTTACACTAAAAATAGGCATTTTTAAAATTTGGGGTGGACTAGGGCCAGGGTGGCCACCCCTAGCTACGTCCTGGACTCGCGAAAAGGGAATGTCCGGATCGACGTGCGATGGGTACTTGAGCATCTTTGGCGACCTAAGTTTCTCTCGGACTCTACGTCGCCAGCCAACAACCTATTAGTGGCAGAAGAAAGAATAAATGGAGGAAGAAAGGGTGAGTGGAAGATTAGAAGAAGATGAAGGAAAGGGTGAAAAGGCTGAAATTCCCATGCGGATCACCACATGTACTGATGTACATAATAAGCAGATACTTATTCATTACCGGTTAAAAAGAGATTTTACTATTTTTAATGGGTTCAAGGGTTTAATTGAGTGAATAAAAGAGTATGGGGCTTAATTGATTTTTTAAAAAAGTACGTTCGAGAACTTATTCGATAATTTCCTCTAAATATATTAGAGAATAACATGTCTAGGTCTAACTTCAGTTTTCAACATAACAATTTTATTAATAAACTTTTTATCAAATAAATAACTTTTGATTTTGCAACCTAAATTACATACTCCCTCCGTCCCTAATAACTTTGCCAAGTTTGACCGGCACGGGGATTAATAAAGTAAAAACTGTGTGGTTGAGGTTTGTGCAGAGGAGAGAGAATTAACTGGAATCACAAATTCTTTACTTAAATGGGAAAGTGGCAAAGTTAATGGGACATCCAAAAAAGGAAAGTTGGCAAAGTTATAAGGGACGGAGGGAGTAATAATCAAAACAAGTAAGGTTGAAATTACTTTTTCGGTTGCATTTAATGAAATGAAATAAATTTTCTATTTTTCATAAATATTTTTATTAATAAAATATATTTTAAGTACAACTTTTTCTCAATTCTACACATTCAACCAATTCAAAAAGTTACGTTCAATGAGAATTTCACTAGTTTAAAGTTTCAACAAATTCAACCAAAGCCAATTCTAACCAATCAACATTTCACCAATTTCTACCAAATAAGAGGCTTGTCATCATCATTATAATATAAAGAGTGCAACCATTCATTTCCGGACTAAATGATAACATTTCTTTCCCTTTCTGTATTAACACGACTGATGCAATTGCTTAGATAAATGAGAGCAATGTCTTTCTGTGCACAAGGTGTACTCAGAGACGTATATAATTTCCATCACATATTTTGGTGAGCTGACTTCCTAATGAGGTTGTATGAATATGTCCTCCCTCCATGGATGAACCTGGGCTTAAACACACACAAGTACAAAAAAGCATGAGTTTCTTTTAAACAAACTCGATATCAGCATGATTTTTTACAAATATGAACATCGATCAATGAATGGGTGGGTGTAAATCCTTAGTTTCACCCCTCGTTTTGTAGTTAATACAATTTATATAAACTAATTCAACCACTGAAGCGTTTATGCATTTCAAGGGTGATGGTTTAGTGCTTTATGACTTTATGAGCTTGTTTGGTCACCAAAAGTGACTTGTTGCCCCCGTTTGGTTTTTGGCAGTTTGGTACCTACACGCTGCTAAATGCAGCGTTTGTAGGTTAAAAAAATCAGTGTTTTGCTGAAAACGCGATTAACCAAACAGGGCCTAACAAGTACTCGACTCGAACCAAACCAAGTCACTTCAGATCGATTCAGTTCTATTCAAACATAACTCGACTCAATCCAAACTCGAATCGAACTCGACTCGAACAGATCCAAATCAAGCTCAATCTATGTACAAACTCAACTCGAAATGCTCACAAACTATTCAATTATGAGTTAGCATTGATTCTTTTAGTTTCATGCATATCGCATTACATAATATATGCATAGCATTGATCCATGCATAAAATTGAACTTATTCTCTACTAAAACTATACTAGAGATTCACATATTGATTAGCGTTTTAAATAATGTTCTAAAAATGTTATGCAAACTTTAACATTCTCAAGCGACGTTCAAGCAGTTTAAGTAGATTTAAGTAGAATTAATTGAATTTTGTTCACCTTAGCTTTGAATAAATCATAGATGGCAAAGAGAGTCCTAATGTCTGGAGACAACTAGCTCAGGTGAAGAATTTAAACATTAAAACGATGTTTTTATATTTAAAAAATTATTTATGATCACACATATGCGTTTAAACGTATACTAAATAAAACTCTTTGTTTAAAAATATATCATTTTTAGAATAAAATCCGAATACAACTCAAACTCAAAATCAACTCGAACTGAAATTCAAGTCGAACCAAGCTATTTACTTCAACTCGACTAAAACTCGAACTCGGTCTTTCTTTATCAAGCACGACTCGATCTAAGCCGAACTCGAGCTCGACTCACTCGTTTAGCACCCCTTAGCACAATAAATACCTTTTTAAAGGGTGTTTGGAATTGATTCTTCTATTTTTTTTTTTAAAACAAAAGTGGAATCAGAATTAGTTTTTCAAAAGCTGGTCTCCCGGCTTCTAAAAAATGCTTCTAGGAGTAATTTTGCGCACTGAGAAGTACTTCTGCACTTTCAGCCAAACAGTTTAATATCTACTTCTGCTCCTTAAAAGATCAAAACAGATTTAAGAAGTAGATTCGAACACCTCTTTACTTTCTGATTTGGCTGAAAACTTGAAACTGATATTACCCAACACTTGTCCTTCAAGAAAATCAAGCCGAATGAGCGAAGTAACCTTAAGAAAGCGGGATCTAGCATTTATTTAAATCTTAAAACGGCCATTAAGCGTAAGATCTAAAAAACATGCTTATAGATAAGATGTTGTGCTAAGTATCTAAATCCACATGGAAGAATATTACACTTTATGTAGCTTGCATTGGTGTCATTTTAATGTGTTCTAAACTAGAAAAGCTGCCAGTTTTGCGGTGAGAAACCGAATTAAATCGAAGTTGAACATAAAGGTGCTTGAAGTACCACTTAGCTTAAATGGGATAGAAACATAAGAGAGGATCTTGAAAACCTCATTGAAGAGACAAAAATCCCAAAAAATCACTGGCAGTTTTCCCTAGACCTAGAAATATCAGCTTGTTCAACTCACTGAAATAATGGCTCGTCTGAAATGAAAACGGAAGAACGGCTGA